GACCTTAAGTTGAAGTAATTTTATATAGCACTTGTATTATTTTTTTTATTGAACTATGCCAATTTGCAAATCAAGGAATTATGGATATATAATATATTATATGACATAACCGACTTAAAATTGCGTGAATTTTTTGATTTTGTTAAAATTAAATACATGTAAAGGTATATATTTCTCTTTCACGTTCAGTAATTCAATATAAACTACTGTCAAGAAGTCGCCCGTTTGTTAATAGTGTTGTTAATAAAATTCTCATTTAATAATCTCACACATTATCAAAATTAAGCTGAAGAAAAATAAAATTGTGTTGGTTGATCGTCAAGAAGTTTTATCAAACAATACAAATATCTCAAAATAACGACAATATAATAGGCGTTCTAAAATTTGTTCCTTAAAATTTTCTTTTTTTATTAAATTGTTTGTTTTTTAATTTTTGTTCATATATAAATTAATGTGCGTGCAGAAATTTATTTTTTATTACTTTGACCATTTAAATAGTTTATTCGACATTATTTCTTTAAAAAATAACATGTTATACATTTTTTTCACCGATTTTTCGTTTACTGAAACAATGTTTCCTCAATCTTGAATCATTAATTAATATCTTTACTGTGTAATTCTAAGGTATATGAGAATAATTAAAACATAATCTCAAAGTCAAAAAATGAATTTACGACATCAGTTATCGCGAGCATACTTTATGTTTCCGTTCACGCCAATGTTCAATACACTAATAAATAAAAACGATAAAAATGGCGTTACATGACAATACAACATTATTATAAATAGATTGTATCTGCCTAGCCTGTCTAATGTCAAAACTGTGTTCATATGATCGTAACTTTTATACTCTAGATTTACTAAACTTAACTCTAATGTAGGTATTTTAAAAGGACGTTTAGACACCGCTGTTTAACAATCGCAGCAATATTGATATAAAAGTCGACATTATATGAATACACTAACTTTAACTAAAGGTACCGATAAGCTTCAATTTTTTTTTTGTTAGATATAACGAAATATCACCACGATGTGTTTTAGTTTATTTTTTACCTAGTCGTATTTAGTGGCAACATATCACCATTAAGATATATAAAAGTATACCTCACAAAAGGCAGTAATTGAAGGATGCAGGCTGGCAACACTTGACGATTCGTCAAATGTGAAGCCGAAGATAGTTCATATCACAAGGGCTTATTTGCTGCTTTTAGAATCCCACGGCTCATTAGGCTTTCTTTTATTTATGTGTACATAATATATGGATATCTTACATGATTTGTCTAATTCTTAGCCAATTTGTTCCTGATTATAAATATACACACTGTACGTTAAATCGCAACTACCTGTGAACGATCGAAGGTATAAGCCAAGAGATTCTAAAGTCCACAAAATCAATAAAAATAACTTGCTAATAAATACTTATTTAATTGTGAATATTATTAAGCATGCATGTATTTTGAAAGGAGTATGGGTTAGCTAAAATAAAATTTATTACCATATTTTATATCACACATCGTAAGTCGTAGACGACGAGCTAGTTACACAATTCTCAATTATTTATGACTCTTATCGTGAAACTACAACCTACGTACCTACATATAATTGAACGACAATAACAAGCGACTCATTGAGCCAAAGATATCTCAAGCGCATCAGTGAACTGTTGCAGCTAACAAATATTTTGAATATATGTTAATCACAAAGCAGCGCAAAAGATTGGAGCCAACTCAATTTTATTCGTCGCATATATATTTCTAACAACATTACGAGTATTAACTTATTAATCTGATACACGATGAACCCCCGTGCGGATAAAGAATGGGAATTTATTACATTGTTCTATAGTATATGAAAATTTTAGTTGAAACAGTACTTAATGAAAGTTTTATTTTTACTTTGGTTTAATTTTCCACCAGAACTTTTGAAATTTTACCAATATATTGGAAAAAACTGATTAATGCACAGTGAACATAAAACATAAACACTCACGCCTGTCACCCAGAGGGGTAGGCAGAGACTACAGACTTCCATTTGGCACGATCCTGACATCCTCTCTCGCCTCCTTCACATCCATACACCTACGCATACATGCTCGTCGGTTAAGGGTACTCCTAATTTGGCCCGTTTTCGATAAATCGCCAATTTGGTCGATAAATTTTCGCCTAGGACGTCCCTTTCCAACTCTGCCATTCACTTCTGCAACATAAATTTTCTTTGTCACTCTTTCCTCATTCATTCTTTCCACATGACCAAACCACCGAAGCATTCCTTTCTTAATCCTGGTCACAACATCATCTTGCAAACCACACTCTTCTCTTATTACATAATTTCTCACCCTGTCATTCAGATTCAGCCCTAACATACTCCTTAACGACCGTATTTCTACTGCGTTCATTCTACTCTCGTGCTTCTTCTGCCACACCCAACTTTCACTACCATACGTTAAAGTTGGGACCAACACAGCATTGTGAATTGCCATACGTGCCTTTTTCGACACATTTTGACTCTTCACAATAGAGTGCAGGGCCCCATTTACTCTATTTCCCGCATTCACTCGTGGACATAAATATTAAAACCAAAAATTGTTACTTCTTAAAACAAAAGTATATTGAATTTATATTATTTTTATGTTTTGTTACTTGAACCTGAAATTAGAAGTACAAAAACGCTTATCGCTACGAATAACTGACTTTTTCTTTTTGTGGTTATTACCGATGGGTGCGAGTAAAAATATCGGCACTGTGCAAGCGAGAAGTAAATACACGAGACACAGTATTTATAATCCCATTCTTTACCCGCGCCAGTAGTACTAACTTTGTCACACAAACAATACACACATCACTGGGAATCACGAGACCACCGCAGTGTCATTTTGTACTCGACCAAACTTTTTATGCAAAATATCTACAATTTAAGAAGTAGGCCTTCAGCGAATTAAATGCATTAGAGTTAGGAAATTAAAAACATTGTTAGATTACATAATACAAAATATAATAAGAAACAAATTGACATTCACACAGTTTAAAGTTACATGAAAAGTTATTTTAACAACTCTATTTATACCAGTTCTTAGATAACATTAGTATTATAAAATGAAAACAGCCAATTTATTTGCGGATATAAAACCCAACCAAATGAAAATCGATTCTAATTGATTTGAAGCTCGAGGTTTCAGAACATCGATTATCATTCGATTTTAACAAAGAACAGCTCATGACAAATCAACTGGACGGTGTGGTGCAAAAATAATCCAATTCACAAACTGGCCAAAGTAATGATCCCGAGACTCTTTTAACAGTTCATTTACAAGTATGAAACACTTCTGAAAATAACCAACAATCTCAATACCACCATTCAATTTTCATTAAAATAATGTACTTAATATAATAGGGCTTTTGCCACAAGAAAAATACATTTATCTTTCAAATCTGAATAACTTTGTCTTTGTGGCTTGAATCATTTCTGCACAACACAGTCCAACTGATCTAACAAATCATTCCGTGTATCATTTCGCATATGTTTCGAAAGCACACTAATTCGCGCTTCCAGCACAACTTACAACAAACGGTCTAAATTCCATAACAAAACGACGGCACGTGTTACATCGATAATGTCTTTGTATACAAATCTTTAAGTTATATCTACTAAGGTATATATTTATATATCGAAACATCGCCCCTGCAGTTTCGAGGAAGGAACACAACAACCGATTTTGAATCTCCGGGACCAATGTTCTATTTTTTTTTTTTTCCTACGCTATTATAGTCTTAAGTTAAAATTGGAGATGCAGACCAGCTACATGTAAATAATACGACTTAAAAAAATTAATCTCAGAAGAATGCGATTAATGAGATGAGATGCAATTAGATAATAAAATAAAATAAAAACAAATCAGAATTGCATGACCATTTTTAACACCTTTGTTGTCGACATACCGCGGATTCTAATCAAACGATTTGCTTCGTCGTTCATGTTACGTACAGTAATAGGATTGGAATGATTTGCCAGCATCTGTTTTTCCACCTGATTCAATTATATAATGTGCACTTTACCATCTTCGGCTGCGTCATCACAATTACCTTAGAATAATAAAAAAAAACTGGACAAAGGTGATCATTAAGAATTTCAAAAAAATCAATTTGGAAGAAAGCAACAAAGAAAAGGTAGACACACAATTTTGTATAGTAGTTTAAGTGACATTAAAGCCATCCCAAAAATATGCTCAATATTTGACTTGTAATTACGCATATACCTTTTATTTATTCGTTACCGGCTCATATGACTTGAGCCCTGGACGAACATATAATATGAATTTGAAACTATAATGTTGGTTGCAAATTATTTTAAATATCCATTTAGAAAGAATATGAGATTGTATGTATTTGTTTGGTTTCGGTGTTATGTGAAATTTTTGCGTTCTATCTTTTTGTCGGTTTAAGGTTATTATTTTCATTTTTTGAATACTGCCCGTGAATTTTTACAGGTGTTCGTTATACTTTCACTCGCGGATTGAAATAACATGTTATATTTATGTTGGACAATGTTGGTTAGAAACACGACGCGCCTTTTATTGTGTTTAATTATATTTGTTGGGAGTTCCCGTGACCATGAGTGTTGCGAAGTAGTCAAAACGTCGAAAATTAAAAAAGTAAAATTAAACGCGATAAATTTGTAAGAACAGTTTTATAAAACGTGAAGAAGAACGAAGAAGAAGAAGAAGTGTTCGCGTAAATATAAATTAATTAGGCATCCGGAGATTCAATTAGACGATCGTAATTAAGCTCAGCTGCACGGGCTCGCGACGGATATCTCACACTCTCAACAAAATCTTACAGACACAATCAACGGGATCAAGGTCAAAAGCGAAATAGCTACGAATTTACACGGTAACCTATCTAGAAGTGATTGTAGTTAAAGTCGGTCGGTGTTCCGATAGTTCGAGGGCTAGTGAGGGCAGTCTCAAAGTGCAGTTGCAGTGCGCTCAGTTGGGAGAGCGGGCGCTAGTGCGGCTGCATGCGGCGCGACACGTGCTCCTCGTGCCGCATCTTGGAGCGGAACTCGACCACCAGGTCGCGCGACTGCGCCAGCACGGCCAGGTGCTCGTTCAGCAGCTCCTCCCACTGCGCCGCGTACGCTGCAACACGCACGCACAAACCATTTTACTACCCACTGCAAACTGCTTATTAAAAAAAAAACACCCCCGATCATTACCTGCTACTTATAATACTAGACCGGTAAATCAGAACAAAAATTGCGACACAGCTGTGTAGGCGGGTACCTTATACAATTTAGTAGGCATTTTTTAGGAAATAAAATTACAAAATAATCTGAAATAAACATCGTACTACGTTAACAAAGTCTGCACATAAATAATGATAAGCTTTTTTACTTTCTTTCAACAAAATCAGTATTAGATTGTCAAAAACACTGTTCCCGGTTTAAAAAACAAGAAAAAGCCGTCTTCACGTCCACTCGTAATCGACTGAACAATTTACGGAGAATTGACAATAACTTAGTACGCATTGTATTATAATACCTTTGTACCGTCTAGAAGTATTCAAAGAAGTCATTCAATACGACTCCTTTTCATATACGAGTCCGTATAAGTAAGTAGATAGCAGGATGGTTATCTATTCTCTACCCCAACAATATCGCCAAATAACAATGCTTCCACCGCTGCCTTTTGATCTAAACAATAATAACAACAATATAATAATAACAAGCGTGACGGTTAAAATAAATTCGCCCTACTACACAGCCCATAAATTTTACAAGCTGGTGGATAACAAAAAAAAAAAAAACAATATATTCCGAACAAAAAATTATAAGTAATCATTTATGCATATCATGTTTCGACATAATAATCTTCTTTATAACCCACCACAAATTCAAAAGAGAACATAGTCCATCACATATTGCCACAAGACACAGTCCTGGGCCCACGCATCTATCGACTCCCGATAAATACCAACAGGATATCACCACTCAACTCAACTCAACTTCACTCAACTTTCTTCCCCATCGAAAGAGCAATCTCTTATTTTTTCTTCCATCCACAATATAATAAATAATTAAATATTACACATTGTAAAAAGAGCATTTTAAACATTATTACTTAAATTTAATTAAAATAAAATTGCTATATTATTATTACAAACATAAAGCATTAAGTTAGTCTTTAACATCTTACTACTTAAAATTATTATTAATAAATATTAATATATAACAAATGTTTTAAAAAAGCCTGATTTTATTTTATCTATTAACAACCATTAGAAACCACTAGAAACTGAAAATATAATATAGGTAAATAATCAAGCTTAAACATGCTTAAAAATAGAAACAACTAAAATTATTTGTCATAAAAATAATAATGAATATCTATAATTTAAAAACGTGCGATCATGTAATTTTTTTGTATGCTTTAAATTTAGCACATAACACACAACCAGCTGGTGTGTTTTGTGCTTTCTTGTCTGTCCGCATATGCGACAAGACCCGTTCGTTATAGTCAACCAAATCTAAGAAATACCTTTTGACGTTTCACATTAATCATTCCGCAATAGCTTTGCACAAGCGTACACACACGATTTAAAATAATGGATTTACGTAAAAGTAAATCCGAAGAATTATGAAGCAAAATATTAAAAAATAACCAGTATCAACTTTTTTACTTGACATCGTTTCAATTATATGTCGCTATGTATATTAACGTAGTGTTTGGATGATTAAAATTCATTGTTATGCGAATAATCGGCAAAAATATTCAAATAATCGGTAAAAATATTCAAATAATCGAATCATTAATTTTTTTATGTATTATTTGTTTAAGTAATTTTTTTAAATTCCTTAAATTACATGAATCATTAATAAAACAAGTTTATTTTTTTAATTTGTCTACGTAAATTTGTGTAGGCAAAAAAACACAAGGCCTCGCTAAAAAAAACCACTACGTAATCTCAATATCCCGCGATTTCGGGAACTTACTAACTAAATTTTGTGATTTTGTGTTTCTCTTCTTATTTTGTGACTCGGATTTAACTATTTGGCCTGTTTCTTCTATATTCGTTGAAGCATGTGCCCATGCCACAAAGGATCATTGGGCAACAGTGGGAGTACAAAAAAATATTATGGATGACTTTGAAAGAGACATTAGTTTTAACTGCATTATTGAAAATCAAATAATAATTAATCTAAACAACGACAGCTCAACTAGTTGTACTCGTACTGAAAGTGATTGAATAAATTTATTTTTAATCTAGTTTCTATCTTAAATTTTTATAACTGTGCCTCTAGAAATAAGTAGTAACAACAAATACGAAGAAACTGATAAATCTAGTGTTTAAATTATCCGTTTTAAATTTTATTCGGGTATTATTCAAATAAAACTGTTAATGATTACCAACTCCAAATAATCGATATCGATTTTTTTAAGAACCGAATATTGTACGTTTCCATTTTTGGGTTGGCATGCTTGGTGCAATAAATCTGACAGCTGTCAAAATGTATTTCTTAGATTTGGTTGACTATAATACGGGATGACTTTATTATTGATGACATCTGGAAAAAAAATAGGATGTAACAGGTTAACGGAGTAAAAGCCTATAGCACTGACCTAAACAATAAATAAAAACAAACTTTTTGAATTAAATAAATAAATCAATTAAAATCTATCGAAATTTAAATCATTGTAGACGGTGAAGGAAAAGGGGAGATCTCCCACCGGGCAAAGTATTCTGCCCAAGGAGTGGTTAAAGCTCTGTGTGATAGTTGAAAGCTATTCTATATAATATACTGTTTTTGATTCGGAACTTTGAAAGCGCGATTTAGGTTTCGATGTTTTCGCTTGTGGCGCGACGACAGCGCAGCTACATCATATCCACCCTACTTTACATACGGCAATAAAACAATAGTAGGCATCTTTGACCTTGTAACTTCGTAGGGTCACATGCTTAAGGGCATGGCCCGCGATCTCAACTCTTCAGTTACTTATGATTAACTGTGGCGTGACGTCGCGTCGCCGTCATATTGTTTATGTTCCCGCGTGTGTATCGTAAACATGTACCAATACTCTAATGTAGAGTATGTAACAAGGACGAGCCAATTCGGTGATAGGTGGATAGATCGCGGTTGAACTGTGAATTGGACGCGAGATCACTAGACTTAACACCTCTAGACTTTTATTTGTGTGCAAAACTAAAACGATTAGTGTACACAGAAGAAGCACATAGTGTTAGTGATTTAAAGTAGCGTATAATAGACGTATTTAATGTGATAGAGACACGCTTCGAAGTTTAACAAACAATTTACAAAGGCGATATCGCTAAAAAAGTAATTTTAATTTGTAAATAAAAATAATTTTTTGTAAATATTAATCAGTACACTGTTTGTAAATAAGTTGATTTCGATCTTATAAATACGCCAATATGTTGTAGTATAAGGTAGGCATAAAAAATATTATTAGAAACTGTTATTCAATTTATTATAATGCAAGATAAAATTTAACATGTGATTCTACGCAAATACAGCATATCAGACGGTCTTAAGCCTGTAATGACGGTCGTAATCTGAAACGCAAGGTAATTTACCTCTTCAACATTTTCTGTTATTTACAAAGATTCGACACGCGACGGTATTATTAATAAAACATTGGCAATGAGAAGTGCTGCTATTTTAAATCCTTTTATTTTATCGACCAACTATTTCACTAATAACCAGTATATTATGCTGATCTTGCATTAGTAAGCAGTAGCTAGCATTGGGAGGTCTACTTACATTGGACGTTTTAAGGTCATTCAAATTCAAATACATAATTTTTTATTAATTAATCATTTTAATCAACCATTATTTAAATACACTTTATATAAAGTCATGTTAAAATATGAAATGGTAAAATAGTTTAATTGCATATTATTTATAAGCTTTCTGATATTCGGCCATGATTCATGACTTGAGTTAAATTCAAAATGACGTACTCAGAGCTTTTTCGAAACAGTATAATTTACTTGAGCAAATTAAAAGTGATGATTATTAGAAAATAAATAATTTTCCCATATTGATGATAGTCGTCTGGGATTTTTGGCCCATCTATGTTGGATTTGTAAGTAAAAATAATGTGTCAACTGTGTTATTTGGGTGGGCGATGAGCTCAAACCCATAATTTGGGATAAACGTGGTTTGAGTAGCTCGTCGCTCAATAGACTCTGCCTACTACGTACCTATTTTCGAACGACTATTAATAATATACAAAAATAATTCTTTGTACGTCATTTTATGTGGTGTGAGCTATGGCATTGGCAGAAGCGATGAGGGCGGTTTATTAAGTTTGCGAATGCGACGAGATCGAACCTATGATCCTGAGCACGCGAGGGCTGGTCATGCGCCGTGGCCCGCGGGACCGCTTGCGCCAGTGCGACAGCCCTGCCACATGCACCATGCTCTATAGCTTTATACACACATGCTCACATACCCTCCTACTTACTCATGCGTTGAATGAAAATGCCATATTACATCACACACAACAACTACATATAAAAGATATGTTACATGGATTCAATGCGATTCAAATAAGAATAGGAACGTTAATGACCTCGAATTACCGAGATCTGTCACTTGGAAAGTACGGCTTGCAAAGAAAATTAATTTGCGTATTAATAACATTTTTTTTCGTTTTATTTAACTGAGTCTTAGTATTACTAAATCCATGTCATACTTATTTTTATAAATTAATATAAAATATTGATACTAGTCGGTAGAAGATTTAAATACCTACATCCATGTTCTATTTTATAAGGGAAAGCAGACATTGGTGAAGAAATTAACAAAATTGAAGTGTCAGATTCGGATTAATACTTTTTCGTACAAGATTATTTTGTAAATAAATGTTATTTCAAAAATATCTCTTACTCTCTCTCACCCTACCTGATTTGAATTGACAGCTATGACATCACAATATGGCGGCAAATCTGTCCTATTCTAATTTGAATCGCATATTAGATAATATTCGTACAGTCGAGCTCTTTAACTATATTACGTAGTAAGGGATCTAACATTTTTCATATCGAAATATGTCATAAAGCTATATGTCATAGATCATGTAACACACCTCCTCCATTTAACAAAATTCTGACCAGCCTCCTGGAAAACAACATCTCGATAATATTAAATATGAAAATATCTGAACAGACAGATGTCATACAAATATTATCTGCCGTGGACAAATCAGTACCATAGAGCGAATTTCTTGAAAATTTGAACGCACACGGATTTTTGTTCCTGTATTAGCGTTCAATTATGGTTTAAAGTGGATTTTGTGCCGTAAAGTTGTAAACTATATATTTTTATAAGTAAATAATTAGAAGCAACGATCGGAATTTATAAGCTCGCGATAATATCGTCATAACGCAATCAACATACAGTGAAGAAAGATAAAATGTTTATATTTTGAATAATTTACGACAACATTTGTTTTAATTTTTCTGGATGAAAACGAAATCTATGATTCTTTACATATTATTACACAATGATTTACTTTCCAGTACTTGTGAAAATAATAATGAGACGTCGTTAATTCGTATGATTTAAGTCAATATTATTGAGATTATTGGTTTATACTAGAAAATGTCCTAGAAAACTAAATTTGTCCAACAAGGTGAATATAAATAGCCGAGCGTTACACTATATTGAACCCTTGCCCGTGCTCATATATTTAATGAACTCGATTGTGCCACTCAAATTATTTAATCTACATATTATAGCTGTATAAAAATAATTTGGGCGCTAGGCGACTTTGCGGAGGATAAATTTACGCATAGATATAGCATACATATGAAAAATTCGCACGGGGTACGTAAGGGAAATGTCTAACTAACCATTTACCGACATTGGCGTAGCGTTTATTAGTCTCACAAACGCGCTATTCTTCCCTCTCGAATTAAAATATCAACCTCCCAGCGCTCAAATTATTTGTCGCTAGCTTACCTTTTTAGTAAGGGACACAACACAACAAGCATTCTAAGAATCAGAAATGACGCTCACAGTCCTGGTCGTAGTCGACGTCGCGTGTGACGGCAAATAGTTGAGTGCTGCGCTGGAGCATGTGCTGCATGTAGTCGCACACCGCCTTGTGGTTGTCCAGCACTTCCTCCTCTGTACGTTGCAGTTCGTCGATCGCCTCGTGGAAGGTGTACATCTCTGCCGACATGTCGCCCTCCTGGCAAAGTAAGGTAAATAGTAAATTAATATTTAATGCTGCTGTGTTTTGGTGAGTGTAGAGAACCGGAGACCCCACTGGTAATGTGTCATTAGTTCTTAGTGGTGACAACGCATCTTCATTTGGATTATGAATCGAGGATGAATGTAGACGTCTACAGCCACAACATCCACTCACCATCAGGTGGACTATGTGCTTGTTTGTCATTATCATTCTATAAAAATGTATTAAAATGAAATTAATAATCATCAGCCACATAGTGGCACCAAGGAAGAGAAGGATAAATCTGTACATAGTTGTAAAATCAATTATTAAAGTCGGTTTTGAGAGATAATTTTGAGCATAAACTCAAACTCCACAATGTCAAATTTTGAGTCTAAGCCATACGGGTATTTAAATATATACGAGCGATAGACTGTACAAAACGATGAAAATCTTCGCTCCGTACAGTTTGATACGCTCGCATGACAAGTTGCATTCGTGAGGCAAAAATATGGGTAAAAGAAAAATATATACTAAGAACATAATATGCAGAATTATGCAGTGCGATATTGCAAATCTCGTTATGACAGAACGAGTTAGTTGAATTTATTGAATAAAACCACTTTTATGGATTTCATCGCGTTTACTTACTTAATTTTCATATCCTACGTTTCGGGTGCTTTGCACCCATGCAATGGTCGGATGTCCCGATGTCGGAGTTAACCCAGAGTACCTTCAGATTTTTATTTATTACTTTTAGTCGAATCTACGCAGAATGAGCTTACTATGTCTTGAAGTTTTGCAGTGGTTTTTTTTTATATAAAGAGGGGGCTAACGAGCATTCAGCTCACCTGATGGTGGCTACCGCCGCCCATTAACAACTGCAACACCAGGATAATTGCAGAGGAATTGAATCGCTTTTTGATAGGAGTAAGCTCTTTTCTTCTAGGTCACTAAGTCTTATCGGTCCGGATAAATCGCAGGTGGTAAACGATTTCACATAGGGGTCGTACGAAAAGACAACTCCAAATAAAACGTACAGCGGTGGACCGCCAAGCATCCAGATGATGTGGATGGTATCGTGCGTTTTGTCGCGATGTGCGTTCGTGAAATTAGGTGACTGGAATTAATCCAAACAATTCCTCGGAGCACACCCCGTGATAGATGCGATAGAAATTCCAAGGGGATGAAACATTTCTTCGCGGCGCCAGTGAATCGAGTCGATCGGAAAGAACTCGGTTGTCGACAGTTAGAGCCGCTCTGCGCTGGACGCCGTCATATGGCAGGAGCTGGCACTGGGGATCCCGGTCTGGAGATGGGAACAGTATTCCATGTGTAGCCGAATTTGCGCCTTGTAAAGTTGCAGGCGGTGTGCCGGCATGAAATACTGTCCCGCTCTGCTGAGCACTAGAAACTTTTAAGAGGCCAATTTGGCCTTCTCTTTCAAGTGACCATGAAACGGTACATCATTCGATATGTCGACGCCGAGGATTCCGATACTGGCTTAGGCAACAAGGGGAGTGCCTTGAAAATTAAAAGAGATACGTCAAAGGGATTCTAGTTTTCCCGAGAAATATTGACACGGCTGGTGTATAGAACTAATGCTTTATACACCGACCGTTTCAGTCCTGAGACTGACTGTCTATGTCTATGTCTGTGTATGCCTTCCGCATAGCGATGCATGTTACCGGTTTGTAACATTTCATTGATATGCAGAAGAAACAGCGTTGGTGATAGCACGCAGTCTAGTAGACAACTACCATTAATAGGCTCGCAATCGGAGTACGTACCGTCTAATACGATCTTGATGCTCCGATCTGCAAGAAAGCCGATGATCTATTGCACAAAAAGTATCGCTTTGTGCCAAGCTCGAACGTAGGCCTTTGCTTTGTCCAAACTAACGGCCCATGTTTTATTAAATTTCAATAACCTCACGTGTCATCCTTGGCAGGAATCAATGTTCTTTCGCGAGGATTTATGGTTGTATCAAGTCTTATGTAATATCGGGCCCGTCTAGGATATGACCACAAACTATGGTATGTTGTGACTATAGGTGCTGAAAAGCACCCGAAACGTCAGGTAATAACATTAAATAAACTATACGCGATAAAATCCGTAAAAGTAGTTTTATTCGATGTGTAGTAATCACGTAAATATATGGAATCATTATGCAGCTTCACTTTAGTTTACTACTGAAAGTATTTTAATATTTACTCAATAATAAGAATAACTGAATAATTATCGTAGATGATTCTAGAACGTTACGTTACGTTGGGAGAGCGCAGGTGCGCCAGCTCGTGATGTGGTGTAATGCGGTGTGATGTGGTGTGATGCGGTGTGATGCGGTGTGATGCGGTGTGATGGGTGTAATGCGGTGGGATGCAGTGTGAGGCAATGTGATGCGGTATGATGTGACGTAATAGAGTGTGATGCGTTGGTGTAATGCGGTGTGATGTGGTGCGATGTGTTGTTGAGTGATGTTGTGTGATGTGAAGTAACGTGAAGTGATGCAGTGCGATGCGGTATGATGCGGTGTGATGCAATTCGACGCGGTGTGATATAGTGTGGTGCGTTGCGACTAGTGACGTGGCGTAATGTCGTGTGATGCGGTGTGATGAGATGTGACGCGATGTGGTGCGATATGATGTGGCGTGATGCGGTGTGGTGTGATGTGGTGTGGTGTGGTGTGATGTGGTGTTGTGCGGTGTGATGTGGTGTATTGTGGTGTGATGTGGTGTATTCTGGTGTGATGTGGTGTATTGTGGTGTGATGCGGTGTAATGTGGTGTGATGTGGTGCGATGTGATGCAGTGTGAAGCGGCGTGATGGGATTTGATGCGGTGTGTTGTAGTGTGATGCAGTGTAATACGATGTGGTGCGGTGAGATGTGGTGCGGTGTGATATAGTGTGATGGAATGGTCTGTTTCGGTACGATATGGTTTGATGCGTGATGCGGTGTATTGTGGTGTGATGCGGTGTCTTATGTCGATGCGGCGTGATGGGATATGATGATGCGGAGTGATGTGGCGTGATGTTGCGTGATGCGGTGTGATGTAGCGTGAGGGGTAATGCGGTGTGGTGTAATGCGGTGTGGTGTGATGTGGTGCGATTAGATGTGGTGTGATGTGGTGCGATTAGATGTGGTGTGATGTGGTGCGATTAGATGTGGTGTGATGGAATGGTCTGGTTCTGTATGATGTGGTTTGATGCGATGTGATGTTGAGTGATGTGGTGTGATGTGGAGTAATGTGAAGTGTTGCGGTGCGATGCGGTGTGATGCGATGCGATGTGGTGTGAAGTAGTGTGATAGGCTGTGTTTAGTGATGTGCCGTGATTTTGTGTGTTGCGGTATAATGCGATGTGATGCGGTGTGATGCGAGGTGATTTGGTATGATGTTGCGTGATGTAGGGTGATGCGGTGTGGTTTGGCGCGGTGTGATGTGGTGTGGTGCGATGTGATCTGGTGCAATGTGATGTGGTGTGGTTCGACGTGGTGCGGTCCGATGTAGTGTGGTGTGGTTTGGAGCGGTGTGATGCGATGTTATGCGGTGTGGTGCGGTGTGATGTGGCGTGATGTGGTGTGATGCGGTAAGATGCGGTGTGATTCGGGGTGATGCGGTGTGATGTGGTATGATGAGATGCGGTGTGATACGGTATGATGTGGTGTGGTTTTGTATGTGTATGTGGTACATATGGCGCGTATATACAAGTAGCTGTACGTACGTTAAGCGAGCGCAGGTGCGCCAGCTCGTGTCCAGGCGGCTCCATGTCCACGTCGAGGTCGCGGTCGGCGGGCGGTGACTCGCCTCGACCACGGCTGCCTTCAGATGTGCCCAGCTCCTTTACCCTGTACACGCACAAACAAACATTCGTCATTCATTCATACGTACTCAGCAGCCGTGCTAGCGAAGGGACTGTAAATTTCACAGTAAGCGAGCAATCCGAGGTCGATCCCCGCTGCCACCACTGAAATTATTCATTTCATTTACCACGTACTTGGAGGGGAACGAAAACAGCGCAGCGTGAGAAAACTTATATGTCAGAAAAATTAACTGGCTAGTCCTTAAGGGTAACGTATCTCTGACATTGTTTTTTATTTGCAGTCTGTTACTAGAATCTATGTGCTACGAACATTGGCGTAATTCGAGAGTAATAAAAGTTGGCACATACAACTAACTCATTAAACTTAATGAGTTAGTTGTCTTAGTAAAACTTTTTTTGTTTTGTAACGGTTAATATACTTAACACTATCAACAGCACAATCATACGAGTATGGTTGTGCTTTTGATAGTGTTAACTATATTAACAAATTATTTTTTATATTAATTTGTTTCAAAACTTCTCCAGAATATGTTGATATTTTCGGGGGATTCAAACGGCTGCTTGATCCAGCAGCCACAGTCGATAAATAGATAGTATCTCAAGTCACCTAAGCAGACAACACCTCATCTTGAGATTTAATTCACCATCAGAACACTTTTTTCTTCGTTTCCACTAATAGTTTATATGTCCAGATATTTATTACACAAAATTAAACCACTTTAATGTATCAAAATCAACTTCAAACCATTATTTAAACAATAACACAAGAGCAGCAGTCTGCTGCTGTCCAAGTTCCCGCCAAAATATTCTTCATCTTCTTTTTATCGCCTTTGTTTTGTAAAGAAAATAAAACATACGTGGTAGTCATCTTGGTACATTATAGTCGTAGTATGAATAGGTCGTCTCAGCCGGGAAGGACCACGCTCTCATAAAATACTAGCGTAATAAAGTAGCTTATGTACTGGTGCTGGTGCTGGTGTGTTTCGTACTTTGAGTGAAGTTTTCAGTGGATACGAGGTGTTCCATCTTGGTCTTCAGGAGTGATAACGTAAAAAAAAGTGTCTGTATTTTCAACCTTATTTGAAGATAAATGTAGATGCACCACAGCATTCACTTACTATCAAATGAACTGTGTGCTCGTTATATAGCATAGAGAGGAGAAAGCGAGAGAGATAGAGATAGGGAGAGTAAGAGTGACCTGTCGGCGTATCGCAGCGTGTTGAGCGAATGCTCGCAGGAGGACATGGCGGGCGAGATCATGGCGATCATGCAGGTGCGCGACTTGTCGCCGATGAAGCTGTCGCGCAGCACCTGCGTCAGCTTGGACACGCGGAACGGCAGGTGGTTGTTGCCCTTCATACCCAGGGCGCGGATGCACTCCTTCAGCGCCAGCAGCGACTTGTTGATCTCCGCACTCTCCATGCCTGCACAATGGAATTACAAGTGGCGGCTCATCGACCTTCTAGGGTCGGCATACCCCGCAACAAAAATAAAAACAACGCCAATAACGTTATATCTTTAAATTACAAATAACGATATTACGTTAGTTAAAACATTATGTTGTTTTTTGTAATTCAGTCAGTGTCATGTCGGTGTCGTGTCTGTATCGTGGTTTTGGGTGGCGGTGTACTCACGGGTCTGGCGGTTGGCAGAGGAGGTGTCGGCGCCGCGCTCGTTGCCCGCCAAGTCGATGAGCGAGAACTTTCCGTGCACGCGATGCAAGCACGGTATCGGTGTCGTGTCAGTGTCATGTCGGTGTCGTGTCTGTATCGTGGTTTTGGGTGGCGGTGTACTCACGGGTCTGGCGGTTGGCAGAGGAGGTGTCGGCGCCGCGCTCGTTGCCCGCCAAGTCGATGAGCGAGAACTTTCCGTGCACGCGATGCAAGCACGGTATCGGTGTCGTGTCAATGTCATGTCGGTGTCGTGTCTGTATCGTGGTTTTGGGTGGCGGTGTACTCACGGGTCTGGCGGTTGGCAGAGGAGGTGTCGGCGCCGCGCTCGTTGCCCGCCAAGTCGATGAGCGAGAACTTTCCGTGCACGCGATGCAAGCACGGTATCGGTGTCGTGTCAGTGTCATGTCGGTGTCGTGTCTGTATCGTGGTTTTGGGTGGCGGTGTACTCACGGGTCTGGCGGTTGGCAGAGGAGGTGTCGGCGCCGCGCTCGTTGCCCGCCAAGTCGATGAGCGAGAACTTTCCGTGCACGCGATGCAAGCACGGTATCGGTGTCGTGTCAATGTCATGTCGGTGTCGTGTCTGTATCGTGGTTTTGGGTGGCGGTGTACTCACGGGTCTGGCGGTTGGCAGAGGAGGTGTCGGCGCCGCGCTCGTTGCCCGCCAAGTCGATGAGCGAGAACTTTCCGTGCACGCGATGCAAGCACGGTATCGGTGTCGTGTCAATGTCATGTCGGTGTCGTGTCTGTATCGTGGTTTTGGGTGGCGGTGTACTCACGGGTCTGGCGGTTGGCGGAGGAGGTGTCGGCGCCGCGCTCGTTGCCCGCCAAGTCGATGAGCGAGAACTTTCCGTGCACGCGATGCAAGCACGGTATCGGTGTCGTGTCAGTGTCATGTCGGTGTCGTGTCTGTATCGTGGTTTTGGGTGGCGGTGTACTCACGGGTCTGGCGGTTGGCAGAGGAGGTGTCGGCGCCGCGCTCGTTGCCCGCCAAGTCGATGAGCGAGAACTTTCCGTGCACGCGATGCAAGCACGGTATCGGTGTCGTGTCAGTGTCATGTCGGTGTCGTGTCTGTATCGTGGTTTTGGGTGGCGGTGTACTCACGGGTCTGGCGGTTGGCAGAGGAGGTGTCGGCGCCGCGCTCGTTGCCCGCCAAGTCGATGAGCGAGAACTTTCCGTGCACGCGATGCAAGCACGGTATCGGTGTCGTGTCAATGTCATGTCGGTGTCGTGTCTGTATCGTGGTTTTGGGTGGCGGTGTACTCACGGGTCTGGCGGTTGGCGGAGGAGGTGTCGGCGCCGCGCTCGTTGCCCGCCAAGTCGATGAGCGAGAACTTGCCGTGCACGCGGTGCATGCCCGGCGACCGCACCACGATTTGGAACACAGCGTGCGACCGCGACGAGTTCGAGTTGGCCGATGTCTGCGGAACACACAATGCACACCCGCTGGTAAATAAAATTATTTTTATTCAATATATCGGTACCGTCACAGCCTATTGATGTCCACTGCGCAACTCCGCCTCGCCGATAAACTACCGCTGTGCAAGCGGGTTGCCAACTGCAATGTTTTTTTTTAATCGTTTTTAGGTATATGTATATATATATATATATATATATATATATATATATAACACTTTACGAAGCTGACGAAGATATTCCTGTTTTCAAACGTACCACACTTCATAACATAATGCACGAGCTTGGTTTCGATTTCAATAAACAGGATAGCAGAACATTGTTAGTCGAAAGATATTGTTTTATGGAGGCGTAAATATCTGAGGCAAATAAAAGAATACAGAGCCGCTAATAAAACCATTTACTATCTTGACGAAACGTGAGTAAACGCCGGACACGTAAAGACAAAAGCATGGTTGGATACAACGGTAAAAAATAAAAGACAAGTCTTTCTAGATGGCTTATCAGCCGGTCCAAAGGCTCCGACAGGAAAAGGTAAAAGGTTAATTGTATTGCACATGGTCTACTAGTATTTGAATCTAAATCCACAAAAGACTATCATCAAGAAGAAACTAACGCGATAAAATCCGTAAAAGTAGTTGTACTACTTTTACGGATTTTATCGCGTCTAATCAATGTGTAGTGTTCGCGTAAATATAAGAAATCATTATTAGGATATTGTTGGATATTAATACACTTAGGAAGTGACAAGGGCAGTACGTCAATTAGACAAGCTAGTTAGCTGCACACTGACAGCGACCGCTCGGTGTTGGACGTAGCCCGCACACACACACATACACATACACAACAGATGCGGTGCGCCCGCGTTGCCAACAGGCTGCAAGGCATTCCATCTTAGTCCTCAGAGATAACAACGATTCTGTAGCCTTCTTTGTCTGAAACTGGTTGCAGGAGTCCATGGGCTGCACTTCAGTTATATAACAAAACTGTGATAGCACACCTGTCCAGAAGTGCGCGCCGCGTTGCCGTGCTGTATAAGACGCAGCACCTCGTCCACGTTGTCGACCACCTTCTCCGTTAGCCCCACGATCTGCACTTGCTGTTTGCCGTCCTCCAGTACGCGTAACTTCGCCTTGTCCGCCAACAAGTCGAACACCTGCAAAGAGTACACACGTTGACATTTATTAATAATAATTATTATTTTTACTTAACTTTTTACTAAACAGTAGTTTTACTAGTTACTTTTTTAGTTTTATTTAGTACTTTTATTACTTAGCATTATACGAGGGTGGATTGAAAAGTACTCGGCCTAACACAGATCCATTCAATTCTAAAAATCAAATCTACCCACATATAGTTCAGTTCAGACTAGTTCATTGTGTGAAGTTCGAAACGTGTGCGATAATTAGTTGTGATTTTATAAATTTATTAACAAAGTAATCGGACATAATTTCCGCGAATGGAGCAAATCGAGCAGCGTGCCGTCATTAAGTACCTCCATAAGAAGGGGCTATCATCAAAAGCCATCCATGATGACATGGTCAATACATTAGGCGATTGTGCTCTGTCACTTTCATCCGTCAAAAAATGGATAGCAGAATTTAAGCGTGGTAGAGAGAGTGTGAAAGATGAACCCCGCTCTGGAAGGCCTTCGACGTCAACTACTGACGAAAATATTAAAAAAGTACTTGATTTAATAATGAGAGACCGCAGATTAAAAATTGGAGAGATAGCCGAGATTATAGGCATCTCTTATAAACGAACTCAAAACATCATTGTCAACGAGTTGGGTTTCCACAAGGTGTCTGCGAGGTGGGTTCCGCGACTGCTTTCAGTTGAACAAAAAAGGACGCGATTGACTATTTCACGCGACTGTTTGGAGTTATTTGAAGCCGATGCAGATGATTTTTTGAATCGTTTTGTTACTATGACGAAACATGGGTTCATTACTGTACACCGGAAACAAAACAACAATCAAAACAGTGGAGAAGACCTGGTTCACCACCCCCTAAAAAAGGCTAAGTCGATTTTGTAGGCAAATAAGGTGATGGCTTCAGTATTCTGGGACTCGAAAGGTGTGATTATGATTGATTATCTTGAAAGGGGTCAGACTATAAACTCTGATTACTACTGCACCTTACTACGTCATTTACGAGAGGAAATAAAAGAAAAACGTCGAGGAATGCTCAGAAGAAAAGTCCTGTTTCATCAAGATAACGCCCGTGTTCACACATAAGTACAGTCAATGGCTGAAATTCACAACTGTGGCTTTGAACTGTTACCGCATCCGCCGTATTCACCTGATCTGGCACCATCAGACTTCTTTCTGTTCCCTAACCTAAAAAAGCACTTGGGAGGTCAAAGATTTTCGACAAACGACGAGGTCAAAGCAGCTGTAGACGCATATTTTGACTCTAAGGAAGAATCATTTTTTTTCAACGGTCTAAATGCTTGGAAGGGGGAGGTGGCAAAAGTGTATTGAACTTGATGGTGATTATGTAGAAAAATAAAAATATAACTGATTTAGTATGTGTTTATTTTCTTGGTTAGGCCGAGTACTTTTCAATCCACCATCGTATTTGCAGTCTGGTGGTGTTGCAAGGTTATCCATCGCCCCATTTCTTCACGTCGGTATCGTACAAAGTAACTGGGATATGCCAAAAGTTCTTACAACCTCCAATAGATAATGGTAAGCCATCTCATACTAGATTTAAAACCCTCAGATCGACATCAGCGTCAAAGGTGTTCAAGTCGGATAATATAATCGTCAGTCGGCCTACCAAATGTGATAGTTAAGACAAAGTTAAAGAGCAGTCGATATCTCTTGCGATGGTTAATTTGTGTACAAACTGATTTGTTCGGAAATTTCGTTAGCGCGATTTAATCCTCGATCGTTAATTATCCAATTGCCCATTACGTGACAGTAACAGCGTCGCTATAGTACTGTGGCAACCAATTTTACTTCCCTGCCATGAAATTTGTCACTTTCAGCTTGTTCCAAAGTGGCACTGCTCTGGTGACAAAAACTTGTGCCAACTCACATGGTGCAGTAACAACGTTGCCATATATTTAGACGCTATAGAACTGTGTCGTGTGTTTTGGGACATACCTTCCCGGAATAGATCTCGAAGAAGGACGCGGACACGATGAGGTTGAGCGGCTTGTACTTGGGCGACTTGAGGTACGTGAACACGTCCCGCGCCGCCATTGCGTAAATGCCTTTTTTGCAGTCTTGAGTCTTGCCCTGTAGACATTTTAAATTATTACCACATTATTTCAAAGTAATATTTTTAGTTTGGTAACACATATCGAGAGCGTTACTTCTAACTGAACAGTGGGAAGTGAAATTATTTATTTATTTATTTATTTTATCCTTTATTGCACCAAAGATTTTATACAAACATTCTCTACCAGCTAACCTTGGGTAGAACAGAGAGTGAGTTATGGGCAGTAAAGTTGTCATGATCACAATCGATTCAAAAATGTACATGCTACACATACATAAAATATATATACACACATATATAATATATACACTTACACATATAAATAATATAACTAATACACATATTTATATATATATATATATATATATATATATATATGTATATATACATATATATACATATACACATATATATACATATATATCTCCATCAATTTATATACAAATAACTATAAACATATAAAGTAAGTGGACTCAAATTTGTTGGTTACGGATATATTCGTATAGTTTTCTTTTAAAAACGTTTTTAGCAGGTATTATTCGCAGGTCAACAGACAATTTGTTCCAGAGGAAGATGGAAGTCAATGTGAAAGAATTTGACATAATCCCAGAATGGTGGAGAGGAGTAGACAGTAATAAATTGTGTGAGGATCGGAGATTGAGAGAATGAGTGTCACTACGGAATTGGAATCTTTCTTTTAGGTAAAGGGGTGAGGAGAATCATTAAGAACTGAAAACAGAGAGGACAGCATTCGAAAATCTCTGCGCTGGCGTATAGTCAACCTCTTTAATTGGGAGCGAAATTCTGATACGTTATCGTATTTGCGCAGGCCAAAGATGAATCGTATGCAGTTGTTAAGTAACCTGTCCAACCTGCTTAGCAGCTCCTGAGAGATATTAGAAAGACAAACATCGGCATAGTCAAATAATGGAAGAATTAGAGATTGGATGAGTAGAAGCTTAGTTGAAGGAGGCAGAAAGAACTTAAGACGATAGATGGAACGAAGTATGCCTGTGACTTTACGACAAATCTCGGACACCTGTAACCTCCAACTAAGGGTCGGGTCAATAATTAAACCCAGATCCTTGACACTAGTGCGGAAAGGAATTACACAGTTTTCGTAACGAATGGATGGTACGTTAAGGACGTATATAATGGACGTCTGTTAAGTTGTGATACCAATTGACGACTACCAATGATAATAGCCTGCCATTTACTGGGATTTACCGTTATACCAAATCGCTGTGACCAGTCTGAAATGCGTTGTAAGTCCTGATTAATAGCTGAAATAGCGGTAGCAATTTCAACCGAGGACGCTTGTGAGTATAACTGAAGATCGTCAGCATAGAGGTGGTAAGAACATTGAACATTGAAGGTGAATTATCTTAGTATAGCTGCTGCAGTAATGAGTTGTCACTTTTAAGGGGCATAGTGCACACCCAGTATAAATATAAATAGATATTTTATTCAATATAAATTATAAGTAACACTTATTGAGACATTTTATGTTTAATTCAGCATTACTTACATGGGCTGAAAAGTCTGACATGGAAATGGCGCCACAAATTCAAAATCCATGTGCTCTTTATAGAGTACTAACTTTAACTTAGATCCTGTCAAAATTTCATGACATTTGGTTTACTCACTTTCAAGTTACAACTTTGAAAGTGTACCCCTGAATTTTTGTAAATAATGGAAAAAAGTAAATTTCGTGTTTTGATAAAACATTATTTTTGATGGAAAAAATACTTTGGTTTTTGGTGTCACACCAATTTTCATCAATGTATTTATCTTTGGTAGATTAGTACTTTCTCCTTTTACAGCTCCGTCTTCCATGATGCCATTTCAATAAAATGTGTAATTATAGTTAACAATCGTGATGATAAATTGAAAATTTTTGAAATAACTTACAGCACATTAGCTTGTTTACTTTGTGTCAGTGACATCACAACGTGATCTAAAATGGCACCGGATAGCGGTATATGAGATTTAAGGAAAAGATTTAAAAAATATATTAAAATTGAATTATAAAATTTATAATACATTTTTATGTATAGAAATCCACATTTCTTGTTTACTTTTTACCAAACTTATTATAAATATGTATTTTTATATTTTTATACATGGTGTAAAATACCCTATGTTCAAGCAAGATTAAGTTCACAAAATACAAATAAAGACCTGGAAGTCTCCGCCCATGGTGTGCGTCTTGCCGGAACCGGTCTGTCCATACGCGAAGCACGTGGCCATGCCGCCCTCGAAGATCGTCTGCACCAGCGGCTTGGCCGTGTACCTGTGCGCACCAATACATAGCTTTCATTAAGCAGACACCAGCATCTATTTCATAGAATAAGGGTCAAAATCGAGTACACAGTCCAACTGATGGTAAGTGAATGCTGTGCTCATTAGACATCTACATTTATCCTCGATTAAGAACCACACAGCAGCTGCATTGTCACCCCTGAGGACTAAGATGGAATGCCTCGTTTCCAGTAAAAAGATTCTCCGGCTCTGTGCACTCATCATTAAAAACACAGCAGCAATAAGCTGCTATTTTACTGTAACATTCTGTAAGAGCGTGGTTCTACTCCGGTCGAGCTGACCTATTCGTGTCACAACCGTAACATAGCTGCAGCATGGCTCTACCTTGCTAATTTTTCTATAGTCATTGTTTCACAGTAGAGGCTTCCATCATCGAGACAACAGTCAGTCACGACATAACATCGTACATCGTAGGCTAATGGTTAAGGGTACGGACTATGAAACTAAAATGTTGTGGTTTCGAATCCGCTATTTGACTACTGACATGAACCATTTCTTACACAAGCATTTTAAGCTTAGGAATATGTTAGGAATATAATAATGTTATCAGCAATGCTAGTATTTTTTTTAAACAAACACACTTAGACAAAAACGCAGTACAGGTATTATTTACAATTAATCAAAAGTAATAAGGAAACACTGCACTCACTTATAAACAACTTCATTCGTGCACGAGTCGTCGAAGGCATAGTCGAAACGGAATTTTTGATTCTCGAGGTATTTCGTTAGGTCCACTTTGTTTTTAGGCTCGTGAACTATCATCTGGTCCTTTGTTGGAACACTGATCACGTCCACCTGGATACAAAATTATAAAATATTATCATTTTATCTCAAAGTAACAAAAAAGGGATAGAGTGCTGCATGCATTTCAAGTGACGTAAAAACCAAGACAAAACCATGCTCAACTTATTTTAAGAACAGCACTCACACATGGTTTAGGTAACATGTACGTCCAGCAGTGAAATTTTACGGGCTGTTAAAGAAAGAAAGAAGGGATGTGTGCGTTTTGTCAAGAAGTTGAGCATAATTTCGTACCTACCACCTATTCGTAGTCGTACTAGTTATAGCATGAATGGGTCGGCCCGACCGGAGAAGGACCACGCTCTCACATAATACCAGCGTGAAATTCTAGCTTAATGCTGCTGTGTTACGTATGGTAAGTGTAGAAAACCGAAGACCCTTTTTACTGGAAATGTGGTATATTAGTCCTCACGAGTGACAACGCATGTGCATTTCGATTCGTAATCGAGGATTGCTGTAGATGTCTATGGGTCACAGCAACCACTTACCATCAGGTGGATTGTGTGGTCGTTTGTGCCTATCCTATAAAAATAAAATGTACGCAGCGCTCCGTCTATTGCTTTGTTGGTCAAAGAATTTTGTTAACAACATAATGTAACATAATCCTGCTCAGATGAACTGTCATAGAATACAGCAACTGCGCAGGTTTGTCACGTAAAAACGCTAGAACACGTACGATTTTTTTTTGAATAAAATTCAAATTTCGAAACGCACTGAAAATCTAATAGTAAGTGACTATTACAGCTCATGGACATCTGCAATCTACTTCAAACAAAGAAGGCATGGTCACTTCTGAGAGCTAAGATGGAATGCCTCACAATTGTACTAGCTCTCTGTACCCTCCCGAATGGTAGAAATAGTTAAGGTGTAATCAATCCAGATGGTGACTCAGGCAGAAAAGAAGTTCAATCGTGTAGAACTGGACGGCTTCGTGGCGCAGTGACTTGACAACGAGTTGCAGCGTTTAGGGCCGCACGGAATAAGTATTATATGTAGTATGTCCTACAAATAATTGTTCTGGGTCTGGATGTTATCCTTATAAAATTGATGTATGTAAACTGTCCTTACGATACAGGTGAAAAGCCAAATGGAAGTGGCGTTTTAAAAAATACAGGAAGAAGAAAGAAAACGCGGTAGAATACCAGCGCTGCGGTAACTCTGTTATTGTAGTATTGTCTATTATGCTGAGTCAGTGGGTCTTTTGTGGCTGCAATCCTTTTTTTATTATTTAGTTAAGTATCTTTTTTTTTGGTTGTAAAATTGATGTTCTGCAAGTTGTTGCAATACATAAATATGTTATTTTTTATGTGCGAATTCATTCTTTCAAAGTGCTTACCTCCTTCTTGGCGATTTCCTTCTTGTTAAGCGGACGCTTGCGCACGCAGACGGTGATCTGGTGGTCCTCCACCGGCTCTGTGCCCACCAGCGGCCGAAACTCGATGCTGTTCTGGTACTCGCGGATCATCGCCAGGAACTCCCAATTCGGGTTGCCCGGGTCCATGTTCATCAGCGCCTCCTGCAGCGTTCACGTACAACCGTTACAATTGAGTATTTGGCGAGATCACGAGATTACGAAAAAGAATTTAAAAAATATACTAATTTTATTATAGAAGGAATGCTGAGTACTGCCATCTGCTTGGGATCCCGTAATTAATTAAATTAAACCTAAACCCAAGCATATCAATGGCTAGACTTTAAGACACAGTGAACTTATTCTGCGTAGATCAGACTTAATCTAAAAGTCATAATTTAAAAGCAGAAGCGTTAATTTGGATATCACCTCAGTGCCTCCCGTGATCAGGGTTGCTGCAAATTACCCGAAACAACAGAAATTTAAAAAAAGTAAAATAAACGCGATAAAATCCATAAAAATAGTTTTGTTCAATGATGTTGAATTTGATGTTTATTTCAGATAAGTGTCTAACCTTATTAGACACAGCTCTTGTTCTGAATTGTCGGTCTTTTAGTATACATACAAGTGTTTGGCTAAAAAAGCAGTAATGGCTGCATGTTAGTTACCTTCTCCTCTTTGAGCTCAGCCTGCCGCTGACGGCGCTTCTCGCGGTTCTCTTTGAGGCGCTCCACCTCCTTGACGACATTGGACCTGCGCACGGCGCCCGACGCCACGGCGTGCGGCACGGACGCTGCGCTCGCCGTGGCTGCCGTGCGCGTCACCACGCCCACGCCGCCCACTGCCCCCACTCCGCCGCCGAACTGCTAACACATCATCATCATGTCGTAACCACTCGTGAGACTAACGCCTTCCGATGATCGCGCCATGCAACCACAATATTTTTTATAGAACTAGGGTGATAAATGAGCACACAGTCCATCTGATGGTGAGTGGATGCTGTGGCCCGTAGACATTTATCCTCGATTCGTCGTCGATCCTCGTTTCCAGAAAAACGGGTATCCTGTTCCCTACAGTCACATTACGAAACATACCAGTATTGTTACGGCTTGAAAATGGCTTTTCGCAAATTCAGAAGCCACAAGAAGTATTAAGCTACTATTTTCCGCTGGTATTCCGTGAGAATGTACTTCTAACCCGGTCGAGTCGATCCATTTGTGCTACAACCATAATATATCTGCAATGTGGCTCGACCATGTTAAAAAATGTTATGACGTTATCCCGGCAGATTTCGACAGCACAGAAATATTTCTGGTGGCTATATGTCTGGACCATCTGTATCTATTGCTTACTTAAAATCTAATTAGTCATAACATTTTATGTGAATCAAAACCTAGACTGTACATGAGTGTTTTTCAAAAAGTTTGTTCGTTGCGTAATGGAATTGCACCAAAATAAAAAATGTATTTAGTAATAAATATGTTATTTATCAGTCGTTATAATTAAGTAATTTTTAATTTTTTTAATTATTACTTTTTATTTTATTTATTTTTTTCTATTTTTTTTTCCTTAACTGCCTGGCTCTTCAAATGCTCGCCACAATGTAATCACCAATTAAATCTACTCGCTATGCAGTTATATAGAATACATTTTAAGGAGCCGAACCACTGACTTTCATAACAGGTTATCCTAGCATGAAAGTCGGGGGATCAACTTATCTATAAATCCCTTATGCTAGCCATTTTGTTACTACGATAACATTGTGTTATGTTTAAGGCTTTATTTTTCAATAAATTATTATTATTATAATTATAATTAATAGAATATTTTAATTTACGTATGAAAAACCTTTAAGTTAACGAGAAATTTATGTTTTAATAAGGTACATCGTCTGAAAAGTTTCATTACATCACAAAGTTTTGATAATTATTAAAACTCAACTGACTTTCAAGAATATATATTTTTTATTAAAATGTTTTTAAACATAAACAGTCTCAAAAATCACAAATTTATAATTAGTAATTTTAAATGAAAACATCTTTTTTTCTATGAAAACTATTCCTCTATGCTACTTATGGTACGTTTTATTGCACAGTCTTGTCTTTACTTTGCTATTCATCTTTATAATATGCTATTTAAATTAATTTTATAACAAGGCTTAATTGATACATTTCTTTTTAAGTCAAATTGAAGCAGTATTTATACCAAGCAAATATTAAATTAAATATAAATATCACAACAACAATAGGACAAGTGACGTTAATGGAAAATGGCGTCACGTTTAGGAACTATAAGGCATAGCTTACATTAATTATAATTAATCAACTTTAAAGTTTATTCCAGTAATTAAGTAATCATTTAAAATACTTATGAATCGAGCTGAAATAGTCACTTAACCCTGTTTATTTTACATAAAAGTAAAAAATAACTACTTATTATTAAAAAAAGGTAGAACACTAATTATAATTGGAAAGTTATCACAACAAATCTTCACTTTTAGCTACTTGTATCTATATATTTTTATAAAGATATATTTTAGTGAGAATTCGTTAACGACAAATATTTACATATTTATGTCGTTGGTGAGGTGAGTTCTAAAAAAGAGAAGCAAAATTTAATCTTGACCTGTATGATCAAGTTACTACCATACTGTTGCTGTTATTAGTTGAGAACGAATCCTCGTCCTACCTACTGTAATCACAAAAAAGAAACGCATCATAAAAGTATGCAAGTGTAATTGATATTAATTTTGACCTGTAATTTAATTAAAGGTTTAGCAGCTCAATAAAAACTTCAAAATAAACCAAGCACAATGTAAACCATGCCTAAGAATTCCACTACATCACATTTGGTATTCCGCTAATACAATACGTTGCGTAGGGGACGTGGCGTATTACGCCGGCACAGAAATAAACTTCAAAATTCAATAGATCGATATAATTTTAATAAATATTACTTTCAATTCAGATTCTTAAGACTTTTTTTAAATAGCCATCAAAATTTCTACTACAAAAAATCCATTACTTACCAAAAAGTAAAGTTCGTGATGGAAAATGAAAACAAGACAATGTGACGTTCAACCACTCACTTGCATTTTACAAACGCGAATGCTCTCAAAAAACTAATATAGCGACCGTTTGCTAGCTAAAATCCTACCAATAGTAAAAACCACCACTTAATTTATAAATTCTTTTGTTCAAAGTCCAGAAATGGACGTAGCGTATATGGAATTTTCCACCAACAGCATATTAAGGGACAAGTTAAAACGAGTATTTTTTATTATTTTTTTTGCTCAAAAACACTATAAATAAAGAATATCATCGAATTTGGATCACATAACACTACCAAATTATATATCATTATTTAAAAAAAAATGTAAAAATAATACAGATATTTTTTGTGCGGAACTTCGCGAAACGAGGGTGGGACACTAAAAGAATCACCTTTCATCTTTCTCATAATGCTTATATTTATGTGAGATATACAGGTTTATGTAGTGTTGAATACATTAATAATCAATTTTAAAGTTACTTTGTTCATATTTAGGCAAAAGAAAGTTTTAAAACCCTTAGTTTTTACAGAATGTAGGTCTAAAGTCCACAGGACACGTAATTTTCGAGTGAACAAACTTTTTGAAAAACACCCACATACGAGTAATGGTTAGAAGCATTATCAATGCGAGGATATAGATTCTGCGCTCAACAAACCGTATCTGACTAGCATAGTGAGTATTGCCAAATATTGTAAGTTGACAGGCCTATTGGCACATTCCGGGAAAGCCTTTATCTAGTAGTAAACGTTCGAGCACGTTCGAGTGTTCGAGCGAACAGTGAAAGTTCGACAATTGATGGGGACGAAAAGTTCTAGAGTATACGAAACGTTCTAGAGTGACTTCAAGATGTAGTGAGGACTTAATGAGACATGTAGGGGTTAATGAATGCAGGTGACCCATAATCGTCTTCGTCTTCAACTTTAAAGCTAATTAAAAGGCTTAGTCGTAATTTTGGTTTTGTGATAAAAATGGTTGAAAGGATGTAAGGATCTGGCACAAGAAAGGAACCTCTTTGATATTTTGTATCCGCCTTTGTCCCTGCGAGGCTGAAGGAGGCTGAGGTCCTTCCGGCAGACTCTGCAACACGGATGCGGCGCTGGGAGTGGTGCCAGCCCGTGAACGACCGCTCGACGCTGGCATCTGCAAGGAAGTGGACGTGGAGTGGGAAGAGGGACAGGATAGTCTGAAGTATAGGTATATGATGTGAAATGTACGAATTTCCTTTTTTTATTACAAACAAGTTGCCTAAACACTAGATTTCTTAGGTAGCTTTATAAATTTGACGCAACAATCCAGGCTGTGAAGTGAAAATATTGGTGTATATTTTAAACATGAAAGCTACGCTATGAAGCTTCGAGTCTTGTAGCTCTAAATAACTTGATGATTTTAAGCATTTAATGGTCTTATCTGGCTCGAAGGCCCACGAGGGAGACATTGGTACTAAAGTTTATAATATATTGCTGATTCTTGCATAATACACAAAATTTATTTCGACACATAAAACAACGTGTACAATTAAATAAAATGAAGTCGCTTCAATATTACAATTTTTTTTTAATAAAACTGTAACGACACGAACTTACAGCCTACTAGATGGTACGTGGCTACTTTATGCACTATGTATGTATACAAATGCGTAGGTCACAACGCGACTGAGGACTAAAATTGTATGCCTCCCAGCTCGTAATTATTAAACTGGCTCTTCATACCGAAAGACAGCAGTACATGCACTAGGTAGGCCAAATGGACTCGAGAGCAGAACATGAGTTCTGTCACCTATTAAATGGTATGAGTTTTTGTTTTCGCCTAAATTGTACTGTGGCACTATATTATATTCTGCGCAGTTGATAACTTCTTGCAGCTTTCAGAATATATTGCCGTGGTCGAAATCAGCCAGGAAACATTATCACATACAATTTTCATTTTGCTTGTAAAGATAATAGGATACTATATTATATAATAGAGTATAGGAATAAAGGAGTGGCGACTCTGTCATTGCGCTACGATAGCTTGTACAGACTGAACAACTTTTTGAAGCTTAAATCACGCTATAAACGTTTCTGAACGACTCTGAATTACATAAAACAATCTCCTTACAAAGACAGACTACAGGTGACTTTCTTTCGAAAGCCGAAATGTGCAATTCATGGACTAGAAGCTTTTACCATTAGTGGAAAGCGTTGGGCGAGGCGTGCATAGATAGTAAATATACATGAACGTGTGTTCGTGAAGCATGCAAAACCTGCACGTGATAGAAGTCAAATATATATCGAGGATGTATAAGGCCGCTGGAGCATTGTAGGGGTCTGGTCAGTAACGCTCTCAGGAATGAATGGAGGCTTGTATCCAGCAGCGAATCGTCCCACGGTAGCTCACCTGCTGTGTGACCCGCGAGTTGGAGGCAGGCTGCGGCTGTGGTTGCGGCTGAGGCGGCGGTACGTTCTCTGTGCCGCGCCGCCCGGTCGTGTCGCCGCCGTGCCCGTTCGTGTAGCCGCTGCCAGTCGCATTCGACACTCGCATCTGGTTGTTGCGCGTCACACGCGACGGCGCTGCAATCGCAAAACATATTTATTTAATTTCCGTCCATTGAATTTAACTAGTGACGAAACGATTACGATTAATTGTAATCGACTATTATCGACATTTCACGATAATCCTATTCGTCGATTATCATTGCGATTATTTATGACTTCTATTTTCAAAGGAATTTATTCCAATTGTTTATGTATAGCAAACAAATCTGTCAATTGAACCATCGTCCATAGCGTCAGAGAGGTTATTTTACACTTCAGTATTGATTCAACCTGAAAAAAGGCAAAGATGGATGCCTGAAAAGCTAGATATTTTATGATTTTTTAAAACAAAAATAATAATTTCTTAAATTTGTTTATTTGACTTAGTTTATGGTAATAAATATAATGATCATTTAATGATAATAGTATGTTTTATTTAGAAACATAAATAATCGTAATCGCTGAGTGATAATCGTTTCTTCACTAAACTTAACACTGTTGTTATTCTTCATGCACAAATCTTACAATGAAAATATCTAAAGTATAACGTAATAAGACGCTTCGTCATCCAGAGTAGAAATGTATATGACATTAGGTTTTAGTATCAATAATTAACAGTTGCTAGAATGCAAAACAAAAAGTGCAAAAGCCGGACAATTCTAAAGTACATTGTGCATCAAACAGCTGTTCGTCAGTCTTACGTGACTTTTTCTCTTCTTGGATTTCTTCTTGGACCTTTTCGGCGGGAGTTTCCCTTTTTTCAAACGCCTCCGTAGGCGAATTGCATTCGGCCGAGTCGGCCACTCGTTTCCGGCAGCGGAGCCACGAGCAGCACATATTTGACAATTACTTCAGTTTCAGTTTTCTTTGGTAATTATTTTTTGTCATTGAATGTTGCTACTTCGTCATCAGCCTTTTGTATAAGTTGAGTTCTTTTTAAATGTGGTATTATTTCAAATTTGGAACAGAAAGACGTTTTAGTTGACGTGTACACCCGTGACAAACGGATAGATGAAAATGGCGACTACATGCGTTGGCGCAAGGCGATCCTGTGCTTGCTCCGTACACCATATTAGGATCTCTTTCTGTACTCAAGGCAATGAACCGTGACGCACGCGAACCGGGCACGGTCCTACGTGAAGGTAAAACTACATGTTCGAGTTAATTTGATATGTTACACACGCTTCGAGAACACATATAAGTAATTTGTTTTCAATATTCTTAAATGCTATCACAATTTCAAGCTAAATGAAACAAAATGGTCTAAAATAAAGGATAAGAGAACGTTCGTCAAGCGGCGACGCAAACAAGAACGGCTGTGTAACTGAAACATATCGTTAAGCAATTATTAGAATTGGTCGATGACCACGCGACGCACTCACTGACGGCGACGACTTAACATTAAACAATGTTAAAAATGTTGAGTTGTACAACTTTTCACTATCTCGCTCTCTCAAAATATTTTAATAAACGATATAAACTTCAACTTTTAATAAGCACGTAAAAGAACTATTTTTCCCAACAAAAACTTATCCCAACATAAGCCATCACACTACTCATCTATGTAAAGCTACATTGGTACTATTATTTATTCTATGGTAAAGCTAAGTATTATATCAATTCCAGTGCATCTTACGTACACAGTAAACATTTCTAACAAATCCGAGGACAGTTAGACGACAAGTGTGTTTCAACTTTTGCTCATCGGTCAGGAGGAAATATAATTCAACTTTAATCTCTTTTGAAATCCATTAAAATCCTATTTGTGTTCGAAAATCTAACAGTATTAAAACAGACAACGCCGAGAACTAAGAGTAGTTATAAAATACTACTACTCGGCTATTTGTTGGCGGCTTTTGTCCCTATGAAAAATGTAGAATGACGTCACTAGACAGGCCGGTCGATAGTGCTATGAGTGATGAGCTTCAGAACGCTTTTTACTATACGGTCTTTAGTCTTTTGACAGCCGTTCTACAAAACGAAACGATAATACGAAGGTTATGATGTCAAGTAATTTTTCTAAAAGTGAAACTCGTTTTCATGGACTGCACTGCATCGAGCGCGTAGCAAAACATACATTTTACAGATATCTCTAAATAGTTTTTCGTGTAATATTAAAGTTAAAAAGTTACAGCCTATATACGTCCCACTACTGGGCACAGGCCTCCGCTCATTTCTGATTTTTGTTTCTTGGGCAAGTAATTGTCCGTCGCGCTGCCCCAATGCGTATTGGCGAACTTCACATGTATTAGAAATTTTTTTTTCTTATTTCTTAGACATCAACGACCCTCACGATCTTTTCCTTCACTACCCAGCACGTGGTAAATCAGCATTTAAAATTGCAATTAACAGTTGCATTGGTGCCGGCGGGAATCGAACCCGCTTTGCTCGCGTACTGTGAATTTTACAGTGAGCGCTGACCATTTGAGCTACCACGGCTCGTGTAATATTAATATGCTTAAATTAAATGTAATTAACGATACATTAAATGTTATTTTTGTAAACACTAATATTTATGCATTTTTATCTCTGCCACAAATAATTTATGTTTGATCATTCGCCCGTTACGATATCTAAGGGTTGATATGGTATAGTGAATTCTCTTAAATTTCTCTTGAATTCTCTTCCACTACACGTCAAAGCCTGAACCAAATTGGATGTGATTTTCAGTGACATAATGTGATAAGCTTGGGCTAATATTTATTGTTTGTTTCATTAAAATTGGTTGCCAAATGAAAAATATTTATATAATATAATATAAAGATTAAAACGAGTCGCGCGATCTCATTATGCGTGCACAAGCCGGAAGGAAAATCGTTAGTAGCTAAAATATTTGGCGTGCGCTGACCAAATGATTGCATATAAGTGAAAATAAAAGTGCTATTGTAAAAAATTTATTATAATTTAATATATTGTGATGACATTTTTTAACGTCTGGAAAAAATAGGGTGTAACATGTGAACGAAGTCCGTTCTCCGTTCACATGTTACATCCTATAGTTTTCAAGACTGAAAAACGGTCATTCAGTACATAAATCAGCTGTTGGCCGCACTGCAGCTCTACGTGGTTCCGTCACGTTTTAACGTGGAAGCATTATTGTATAGGGAAAACAACTAAATGATGTCAATTCATTTTTTTTTTTGAAGACTATAAGCTCTTTTCTTCCAATTGCAGTATATTTAAGCAGTATTGGTAATTTCAGCCTATATATCAAGTTAAATCTACATCTACTGCATCTGTATTGGTTCAGTGGCATTTTAGTTATAAACCTTAATTTTTACTTATGTAAGATGTTTTTATAAGTATGTTGATAGGTTTACCGTGTAGTGGCTGTGTAAGAATTTTCACTACTTACCTCATATCATCCCGTGGGTGCCGTAAGAGGCGACAGAGGGAAACAAATCAGGAGATGATGGCAGATGAGGCAATCTATGGGGGAGGCCTATGTACAGCAGTGGACTTTTATAGGATGTGATGATGATGATGATGATGATGAAGATGAGATGGTAGGACTCCTTTCTGCCTAACAGTCTGTTAAGGTAGATCCTGCCACCAGATAGTGTTCCGACCCGGGGAATATATAGAACCAATATAATAACAGACTGTGGGGCATTACATCTTAATCTTCAAATGTGACAACGCATCTATAGCCTCCTTTGTTTGAAATCGGTTTCAGATTATCAACGTGGTAGAGCCAAGCTGCAGCTTATATATGCTTGTAGTACGAATGGGTCGGCTCGACCGGGGAAGGACCACGCTCTCACAGAATAGCAGTGTAAAATAACACCCTAATGCTGCTGTGTTTCGTATGGTGAGTGTAGAGATCCGGAGACACTTCTTACTGGAATCGAGGCATTCCATCTTAGTCCTCAGGGACACAGGGGTGACAACGCATCTGCATTTTGAATGTTAATCGAGGATAAATGTAGTTGACTACGGGAGACAGCTTCCACTTACTATCAGGTGGACGGTGTGCTCGTTTATCACCCTATCCTATAAAAAATTTAGATATTTGATATAATTTATATTTTGTTTTGCTGCTTGCGTAGTTTACGCTGATATACCCTAGACTATAAATTAGTTTAAAAAGTTTCTATTCAAAGAAATATGGAAGAAGCGATCTTACTGTTTTATTTAAAGTTTTGTCAAATATGGATGTTAAATTGTTTTATTTAAAAAAATACAATTAACTATTTTAGCGTTCAATGTTCTGTTATTCTCATATGCTATTAAACCTACTTACCTATTCTATTGGGGTTACAACCTGTTCTACCTAGATGGGTAAATCAATAACTCGTCTACCTAAAAAGAACGACATTGATAACACACCTTTATGTTTCTAAAGTCAAATCAATAGGAAAGTTGACACTATCAATAATTGAAGTATTTTCATGCGCTATTAAAATGAAACATCTACGAGTATAGAAATTGTATGGGGATTGCAGTAAATTAAGTCATATTTTCTTATACCAAATTACCATCCTATTTATATATATTTATTTTTATATAAAAATATAATTTAACTTAAAAATTAATAAATTAATATAAGGTACCGGAGGGATAATAAGGCCTGTCGGCTAATAAAGGCCAGGTTTCTGATGAAGTAAATTTTGTTAGCATTTTGGCTTTTACATGATTAAATGCGTCAGGGCCCGCGGCCTGTAAAGTCAATTTAGATGTGTCAGTGATTCCCAAAGTGGTCTATATCGACCCTAGGGGTCTATGACACCTGGAAGGGGTCTACGTCAACGAAAAAAAATTTGGGGGTCCATGAAATGAAAATGGGGGTCCACGATTGTGGATCTCAACACATACACTGATAGTACCTATTTACTTACATCGTACTATCTTATAATATCAAAACATATACATTATTTATAAAAGTACCTATGAATTAAAAAAATTATTATATATGTTTATAAAATTGTGTAAGTTGTAGGATGTTGGTATTCGCTTTGTGGTCGCAATACATTTCGAACTTGTAAAAACCTGAGAGTCGCAGTGTAAGAGCTTCGCTACCTTGCACTGACTTGTTC